GAACCGCCATAAACGGCGATGCAGGGGGTGGTATGAGTGGGAAAGGTTTATATACGTTTGGCATCGACGGGATGCCGTTGATTGTTTGTTTATTTATTTTCTTCTTCCTTTTTTAAAGACGTTGAACTTGTGGTTATTATTTTCTTATTTGTAGCGGTGTTTTCAATACTCGGGGAGAAAAGGGTCTTTATGTTTGTACCTTCTCTTGTTTGTCATTGTGGTTGTTATGGAACTTGTGTACCTTCTGGTGATTGTCCATCTTCTTCAGGTTCGTTTGTCGGATATTCGGCACAGTTCTTCATCGTCGGCTCCAGCTCCACGGTTCAGTTTACCCTTCTTTTCACTTTCTTCAGCCTACGCAACATGTCCGCCCCACAGGACACCGGGAAGGGCCCAGTGGAGTCCTCGGCGACAGGGAAGAGGTCAGACGGTGGAAGAAAAGGTCATAACACGAAGACCTTTGACTCCCCTTTCAAGGTGGATCCAAAGGCAGATGGGAGACGAGATGACCCCGTTTGGCATTTCGTTGCTCGTGGTCGTTATTTGGACGGGTCCAGTGCGGTCGGGAGGAAGAACGGTCGTCGTTGTGTGTGCAGGTTATGCGGGCGTTTCATATGTCGGGGTGCTCGCAATGCAAAGGAATACTTTTTTCGTGGCGAGGGCTACAGATGCGCCGTGGCAACCCCGGCGGTGTGACACGCGATTTGGTCCTAGGATATGTCAAAATGTCCTGCACATTTGGCTTCTGCCGTGCAAGTCTTGTAGAGTCTCCCTCTAGGTCATCCCTCTTTCCAATGGCCACCGCTTCGTTTTCCCGAGGACTCTGTTCCACTGCCTCCTTCCACCGCCGCCCCCTCCCAGATGGCGCCATCTCCTCGTGCACCACGTGCTCCGCTCCCCCCTCGTCCCGCGGCAGTCTCACCTGCACCACTTCATGCGACGACTGCAGCGCCCGTTGATGGTGCCGTTCCCGGTGGGTGCGTGCGTGACTCACGTGCCATTCCATCGGTGCCGACGCAGCCTGATGCGCAAGGCACCGGACCTGTTTCGGATGTCGGGGGACCTGTGCTGTTCGACGAGCCAGGGACTCGTGCTTTCGTCGAGGGTCGAGGGTGGGGGAAGGGCGCTGGAACATCGAGCGGCCTCGGCCCGGTGTTCACCGCGAACAGGAATAAGGTTGCTAGAGTTCGACGAGCAGCCGCACCTCCCCCAGCGGCAGAACCACCCGCGACGGGACATCAGGCTGCTGCGGATCCATGGTTGCTGCCCCCTCCTTCGCAGACACGTGGATAAGCACCAGACTTCACTTCCGCACCTGTTTGCGAGGCCGCCTCAACGGTCCCGGCGGGGGCTTACACCATCCCGCTCGACGAGCCCATTCAAGTTTCGGATTCGTCACCCACTCCTGCGCCCGTGACAACCCCGACCTCGCAACACGGTTTCTTTGGGACATTGGATCCTCTGCAAAATTTGCGCAACATTGCTGCTCCTAGCCCAGGCCCACCTGCATCACCTGCGACTGTCGGCGGGGTGTGGGATTCGCTAGGTTGCGGCGCCGCTGCACGAGTGAAGGGCACTTACAGGCAGCAGGTGGTGACATCGTACTACAACGACCCACATGAGCACGCATGGCACCTGCAAATCATGCAATTTATTGTCGAGAGCGGCATGACGTTCAACTGCGTGAAGCTTGAGAGCTTCAATCGCATGTTGACAATGATCATCCCACCTGGGGTTCCCGGGTCGCCCACCCCGAAACCCCCGACATATCACATGATCCGTACCTCGCGTTTGGATGAGCTTGATGCGGAGGTTTAAAAGTGTGTGAAACCCGTCCTTGCTATTTCGGCAACCTACGGATGCACGATCATGACAAACGGGTGGGGCAACATTCGGGGCCAAACGTTGTGCAACTACCTCGTAGGGACCATGCGGGGCACGACATACGTCGCGACAGATGTCATGCGAGGAAAGAAGGATGCCGCCGCTCTAGCGCAGGCTTGGCTGCAAAGGTTGAAGTCCCTTGACATCAAACTCGCGGACATCACCGCATTCGTCACAGACTCGGCTAGTTCCACCGTTTCTGCGATGGAGGTGTTTCAGAAGGATGAGAGTGTTAAGCACATCTTCTGGATTCCTTGTGTAGCGCACGTCATGGACCTCATCCTTGAGGACATCGACGACATTGAGTGGGTGGCGACCTGCATTGCTCAGGCGCGGGTGGTCACAAAGTTTTTCAAGCGCCATAGCCATGCTCGCGAGGTTTTGCAATCTTTCTCGACGGCAGCACTGTTGCTTCCCGACGAGACTCGCTTGGCACGCTTGTCATTATGATGCGGCGACTTCTTAAGTTGCAATCACATCTCATGAGGGTGGTGATCGATGATCGGTGGAAGGACACTATTTGGGCGACGAAGAAGATTAGAGACGACGCCGCGGAGGTCACAGCATGTGTCGGTTGTCCTCGGTGGTGGGAGGATATGACGCCGTTGTGCAAGTTGTTGGATCCCATCATGGACATGCTGCAAATGGTGGATAGCGACACGAGGCAGATTGGCAAGATTCTGCGTCGGTACGACGAGATGATCGTGCGTTGTTTGCCAGCATCTGCCTCGTTTGACAGGGATGAGCAGGACACAGTTCTCGAAGTGATTGACAGACGCTGCACAATGTTCAAGTCGCCTGCTCATATTGCTGCCATGATATTGGATCCCGAGTTTTGAGAGCGCACGATGCCAGACGACGACGAGATGCAGCAGGGTTTGAAAGTCGCTCTTGTTCAGTTCGGGTACCCGGAGGGTTCGGATCAGCACAACGAGGTGATGGCTGCCGTTGAAAAGTTTCACACCAGGGAACCATCGTTCGACGACGTGGCCATGGACCGAGCGGCGAGGAGCTACACCCATCCAGCCACGTCTTGGGAGTTGAAGGAGAAGAGGTTCCCGCACACGGCCTTCTTCGCTGGCAGGATACTGCGTGTGTGGGCGACTGCATCGCCCTGCGAGCAAGCATGGTCCCGCTGGAGCTTCATCCACTCCAAATCCCTATACAGATTGGAGGTGGCACGGGCCGAAAAGCTCGTGTGATGCCATTGGAACCTTCGACTCCTCGACAGGCAGGGTATGTCGAACGATGCTCCTTACGACAGGCCACATCCATACGGGAGTTGGGTGCACTATTGGCAGCAGGTGGAGGAGGAGGTGCCCACTGACCAGCAGCTTGTCGCCGACAGAGGAGCCCGTGTTGCGGTGACGAATGAGGAGTTGTTGCACGCTACAGAGAGGATGCGTGCCATGTCCCGCATGGGAGCCGCTCGTCGTTTGCGAGAGTCAGACAGGAGGAGACGTCATGGAGGTGGTCGCGGAGGTGGTCGTCAGGCCGGTCGTGGGCGAGGCGGGCGTGGAGGTCCTGACAGGAGGAGGAGTGTCGCCAGTCGTGGTCGTTGCGAATCTGTGGCAAAGCTATGAACAGGCGGACCAGCTTGTACGGAAGCCTCGCCAACGATGGGACGAGGGAGACTTTTTGTACGAGAGCTCGTCGAGTGACGATGAGGATTTCTTCGGCAGTGGCACGCCTGCACAGGATGGCGACAGCGATTTCGACGACCGTCACCCGGACGTGGACGACGATGACGGCTTCAGAGGCCATGATCGTGGTGATGGGGGAGATCGGCCGCAACCCCGCTCGACACAGAGAGACGACGATAGAGCGCTTGACGAGGGAGCGGGACATTGCTGTGTTGAGGGTAACGCTGATGCAGGGAGCGGTGCAATTGCCTCGAGACCTGCAGACGGTGACACCATGGACGTCCAGAGGGCGGGAGGCGAGCACCGTACAACCTCGGACAGGGTGCGAGATGGAGCGACTGATGGTTGTGCAGGACTTGTGGACGGCGGTGGCTTGAGGCGCTTGAAGCGCGGACCCAGGGAACAAGACACTATCGCTTCCCGTGTGCGCAGACGTCATGGCGGGGTTCCCGACATTCCAAAAGCAGCAGTCCCACAATTTGAGCAGATTCTTGTTTCAGAGGACTCTTTGAGCGACCATGCCGACGAGGAGCGGATGAAGGTGATTGACGGGACCGGTCGTGCTGGAAGTGACACTTTCAGTATGCACGCGACAGCTCCGACGGGGTCCTCGGCAGCAACCCAGGAATCGGAATTGGATTTGGGACCGTCGATGCGTCATCCCGAGTTGAAGGGAGACAACGGTGTTCTCCCGGTGATGGACGACAAGGGTTCTGCTCATTCAATGCATCAGCTCACTTCTGCTGGAGCGCCTGCATTGTCAGTTGTAGCAACCTCCGATGTGCGACTACCGCCGCCAGCGGCGGAGCGAGAGACTGTGCCGCCGACTCCAAGTGCTTTGGATGATCATCCCAATGTAGGCATGGAGGGGGTTGAGAGGCAGCAACCAAGCATACAGGGAGCCGATGCAGTTGACACTGTGTCGCGGCCATCGCGTGTATTGACGGAGGGGATTGCTGATGTGTGTTTAGGCGACGATCTCCCGGACGTGGTCGTCTCACGCACTCCCGCCGCTGAGCATATCGCCGTTGCCCTTGTCGGCCTGGAATGCCCCACCGACAGTCTTCCTGGTACCACCGATTTACTGGCCATGGACTCGGCGCTCGCCTCGCTCCCGGACTTGTCGACGTTGATATCTCCGGGTTTGCCCCACGTGCCAACGCCAAACCTGCAACAACCTGTCGCCATGGAAAGCGCACCAGGCGCGTTTGACGAGTTTGGAGGCGATACGATTGTTTTTGCCACGCCCACGATTTTTCGTGTTGGCAGGCCACATGAGGTGGACCTTGGGAAGGCCGAGACGGCTACTCGACATCACCGCGGCGGTCACCGCAGCATCGCACACCGCAGGTCCGATTCCTTTGGCGTTCCTGAGGGAGGGTGTGTAGGCAGGGCAGATGACGCAGCGGGCAGATCAGCAAGACCCTCAAGTCCGCCGTCGAGATCAGAGCATCACCCCGTTAGCGGTACTTCCGGCGAAGTCACGGGCGTCCCCGCCACGGACACCATGGACCCCACACGACAGCCTGCGGTCGGGTCCTCGTCCACAGCACGGCGCGACAGAGCCACTGTTTTGCCGACAGTGGCATTCTATGCCACTGAGGGGAGTGCTGGGGGGTTGGACGAGTCGAGAGCCCGAATTGCAGGCAGACCCTCCGCACCCTGTATGGGGACACGATCCATCGGGAGTGTCGACGGTGCTCGCCACACCGCCATGTCAGAGTATGAGGACCGACATGGGAGCGCCTTGCCGACGAAGTCCTCTGATGTCCATGCTACGAGGGTCGCGAAGGCGAGTCTTTCTCGAGCGAGGAAGAAGGCTTCGGAAAGGACGGCGTCACTCTCGTCGCCACATATGCGATCCCACATTGGGCAATTCGGTGTTGCGCCTCTCAAGGACGGAGAGATTGCACCTAATGGCGCTGCGTTGGATGTTGGAGAGAGGCCTGCGGGGGCGGACAACGTCTGCAGGGATGGTGCAGTCACTGTAGGACATGCAGTGGCAGGTTAGAAGAGATGTGGCAGTGTACTTACCGTCCACGACGACAGCACGGATGTTGCCCCGGGAGAGACCACAGGCACTGATGATGCGGGGGACTCTGATTTCGTGCCTGGATCTCGGGGGGCGGACAAAGATATTGGAGGAGGGCGACGAGTGAGACCGAGGACACGACTGGGGCCATCCGGCCAGGTACTGCAAAGCACAACATCGGTGACGATTCCTGCCCCAATCGATTGGCGAGCTCAGGCGCAGCGACTGGTGCGCAAAATGGAGGCCACTCTTCAAGAAACACATGGCTCATAGATCGGCCGTGGATGGAGAGAGAGAGAGAGAGAGAGAGACTGTCGACCTCGGCCCCGGCTACCACTAGGACGGGAGGCCCTTGGCCTAGGCGCGTAGCATGAGAGCCTATAGCCGGGCAGGCAGAGGTCGTAGGGATGTTGCTACATATCCGCTCGACATTGCAGTTTTCTCTTGGCACCCTTGCAGCCTCGCAGGTATCTTATCGTGGTTGGCATGGGATATTGTTGTCGTCGACGCGACGTTGATATCTCCTGGACTTGGAGAGAGAGAGAGAGAGAGAGAGAGAGAGAGAGAGAGAGAGAGAGAGAGAGAGCCTGTCGACTAGGATGGGAGGCCCTTGGCCTAGGCCCGTAGCATGAGAGCCTATAGCTGGGCAGGCAGAGGTCATAGAGATGTTGCTACATATCCGCTCAATCGTGCAGTTATTTCGTGTCACACTTGCAGCCCCGCAGCTATCTTATCGTGATTGCTGGGATTTTTTTGTCGACGACGCGGCGTTGATATCTCCCGGACTTGGAGAGATAGAGACAGACATAGAGAGAGAGAGAGAGAGAGAGAGAGAGAGAGAGAGAGACTGTCGACCACGGCCCGGGCTACCATTAGGAAGGGAGGCGCTTGGCCTAAACCCGTAGCATGAGAGCTTATAGCCGGGCAAGCAGAGGTCAGATGCAGGATCATGGATGAGGTATCTTTTTGTGATTGGTTGTTGCCACTTGTTGGCACTATTGGGAGTCTCTAGAGTACTGTCAGAGAGTGAGAAACACGGTTTAAACACGCAGTGTTATCTCCACAGTTGTGCATAGTGCTTTCAAGAATTTTTTACTGCCTACTCAGTTTGTGTGCATCGTGTACTATTTCTGTGTTGTCGGGCAGACAGAGGTCCCTCCTTGTATAGTCTGTGCTGCATGTATGCGCGTGCATGTTATTGTCTGCGTGTGTGTGTTGCACGAACTTACACCGTTCACGAAGAATTGATAATTGACAAACAAGTTGAAACAACCAAGTTCACAACAGTTCTGCACAAAGTCGCAAGAATGTTATATTTTTTGGCTTCGTGTTTTCTTTTCAGGCAGGTCATGGAGTCTTGTGCAGTCACAAACATCTCAATGTCCACACACGTAATTTTGAAATTGTCAAATTACCCAAAGGGTCGCTGACTCGCTGGACCAGGTTTCCAATACGGGATGCTCCCAAGACTACCCAACATATGGATATATATATATATATTATACTATATGTATATGTATATTTACATATATATCCTTCTGTATATGCATATTCTTCTGTATTTGTAAACATTGGACGCAAAGTCACAAGCTATCACATCAAGTTTTGGTTTTCTTTGTTTTTCTTTTTTTTTTCGATGCGTTTCATTGGACGTGGGGGGGGGGTTTCTTTACAGTTCCCGCTGGGAAACTACCAAGCCGTCGACGGCCGTGCTGGGTCACTTGAGGCCACACGTGATTGAAATCGTGAACGGAGTGGTAAAATACTGTGTACCGCGCACAGCACGGAGGCACAGCCTGGAGGGGGGGGGGGGGGGGGGGGGGGGGGGGGGGGGGGGGGGAGGGAAGGGAACAGAGAGCTCTAGTAAGTGTCTGAATCTGGACGTGTTTCCATGCAGAGGTGCATAGAAGTAGATCAATGGCAATTTTTGGCATTTGTCCACAAACACGTCCACATTCAAACACTTACTACAAGTCTACAACCCTTTTTGATAGTGGGATCTCGCCCCAACTCTCAGGCGTGCACATTCGTGCGCAATAGACGTCCACAGCCACGGTACGTCCACAACAGCAGTGCAGAAAAGAGGAAAAAACGAAAAAAGACAAACGAAAAAAGGACCAAATAGCCCGAAAAAGAAAATTGGCGTCGTCCGGCGTCCACCCAAAAAAAATGCGGGCGCGGTCGCCCCAACTCCAAGCACAAGGGCGACCGCCGCCGCGACCGGTCGGTATTATGACAACGACCGCGCCCTTGTGCTGCAGATTGCAGCCCCCTCTACGCCGTTCTAAGCCCCTAAATAGGTCGTCGACATTTCCCGATGGGAAATTCTGCTTCTGCAAAAAATGCAACCGGGTATAGCGCAGCCTCTTGGCTGTGAACTTCGCCAATGGGTCCAAGACCCTGCCAGTAAATCCCACCCGGGGCCGACACCCCGGCATAGACCCCCGTCCCCGACCCCGACCCCCGCCCACCGCCCCCCGGCCCCGACCCCCGGCCCCAACCCCCAGCCCCGACCCCCGGCCCCGACTCCCCGGCTCCGTCACCCCGGCGCCGCACCCCGCATACCGCCCCGGACCCCGCGGTGCCGGGGTTGCGGAGCCGGTGGTGCGGTGGCGGGGGTGGGATGCGGGGTCGCGGGGTTGCGGGGGGCGGGGGTCGATGGGCAGCGGTGCTGTGGGTGTCGGGGGTGACGAGCGGGGTGCGGCGGCGGGGTCCCGCCGGGGTCGGTGGCGGGCCGGGGGTCAGGGGCGGGGGCGAACGCCGGGGGTCGGCCCGGTGGCGGGCTGGGGCAACCCCGCACCCGCCAAAAGGGGTCCGCGGCCCCGGGGGTGAACCCATGCCGGGGCATTTTCTGCACCAGACAGAAAATGCCAGGGGCTCCACGCCGGCGGTGCGCACCCCCCACTGTTTTTTTTTTTTTTTTCAATTTTTTTTTGGATTTTTTTCTTTTCTTTTCTTTTTTCTCCTTATTGGGGGGGGGTCCCGGGTGCCGACCTCCGGAACCCCAGACCCCGCCGGGGTCCCGGGGCCGGGGGTCGACAACACTGCCCCCAATGCGTGAATTCGCATACGGGTCCGATAAAGGTGTGCGGCTGTGCGTGCCCCCTATGCTATACAGCGTACGAGAAACGCCCTCGACTAAGCCACCTCTCCGATTGCGACTGATTAGCTTTCTCACGTGGTTCGGTAGCTCGACGGGGATACGCCCACATAAGGGGCAACTCCTGCAGGTGGAGGTAAGTTGTAGCTCGCTTGACCCTATCCTATCGTGGAGGTTCGTGAGATGTATGGCTGGCGCACTCGGCCGAAGCAGCGACGAAAACTCCATTTGGACAACGATGAAGGGTAAAGACCTCCACGAAAATACTGTGTAACGCGGTCAGGAGCTTCCCCCTGCGGGACCGATGCGCTCGACAATAGCACCGTGTGGTGCATCCCACCCAACACGCTCGCATGAACGGTGTATTTCTGTAAAAAATCCGGGGAAACGTATCGGTGGTTCAACTTGGTGTTTTAGGACCAAGTGATTGATATCTTTGAGTGTACTTGCCTCCTCAACTTTTTTCACTCTCCGGTCAAATTGAAAGAGGGGTTGTTAGACAGCTAACCTAACAGGAATATTACAAAATCTCTCACCGAGTCTCACCCATAGTTTACCATTGGGGTCACTACGGCCGCGCCAAAAATGAAGTTTCCATTTACAATCGAAACTCATTTTTGCAGTCTTGCCGCGACCTGAATTTGTCATGCAAAACAGACTCAGGCTGCCGCGCTCCCATAATTTTGTCAAATGTCATTTCGGGTATGGCTGAGGTGTGTTGGGCGTGGCCCAGGCACCGGGAACAGGACATACCTTTTTTCTCCAGCGGTTACCCTGTAGTAAAGGGTGCATCTGGCCCAAATCACCACCAGTTGCAGCCAGTAGTACCAGCGGCCCTCTCTTGGACTCTTTCCCAGGGCCTCATAGGCGCTAACCCTCTTCACTTGTCGAGTGGATTTTTAACCCATTCATCTCAGAGATCAGACGACTGAGATTTTTTATGGTCCACCAGTCTCCAACATGGCTTTTGACAAAACTGAGTTTGGTGGTCTGAGGTTATTTTGGATTTAAAACTGAGGCCGCAACCAGCATGCAGAAACAAGTTTCGATTGCACATTGAAACTGTGGCCGCAGTTTTTTTTTTACCCTTTCTCCAAGATTTCCTGATGGTCGCAAAATCTCTCTCTAGTTTCTTTTTGGTATCTTGCTTACTGTCGTCTCAAATTTTCGTCTTTCTGACAACTTTTTCTCCAAAATTTCCCGGTGGTCACACGATCTTTCTCTAATTTCTTTCTGGTATCTTGCTTACTGTCGTCTCAAACTGTCGTCTTGCTGACACTGCTCTTGCTGCCTTGGAAAGTAGTAATAATTATTAATACTCGAGGTGTGGTGGTTCAGAGTTCCTCATCATGATTGGAGCAACAGATGTTGTTGCTCGCTAGTAGTAGCGAGTGGGATTTAGACTCTATTGTGAATGCTTCTACAAGATGTGAAGAAAATACGCTTTGATTCAATCTAACAAGCATTAATGCTCAAAATACGATCCAGGTTCATGCTGAGGATAAGTTTATTCAACTTTCAATCAGTCTCACACATACAGGGTCAAACTTTGCACACACAGACAAAGGTGCCCAATTGCGGCAATTCAGCAAACATCTCAAGGCCCAGCGCGGGCAGACAGAGACGGTACGAACTTGCGAAGTAAAAGTAACCAGACACTCCTACTAGGGGCAGACGAGAGCAACACAAATTGAGAACATAATGTACCCGCTGCACCACTTTACTCAAACGTGCCGAATGTACCCACCCCACAATTCAGCAATGGTACGTTTTGTATATCCTCATAAAGGTATCACTCCACACTACAGTTAGTGTCTCGTGTTTTGTTCACTGCTTGGTTTTGAAAATGCCAATCACACATTGATATATGCATACATATCCACACGGTTATCTCTCAAGCGATCTGCTTAATTGACTCTCATGTTTATTCATTATAGCA